GGGTGGAAAAATTAAAATAGATTGTCGCCTGATCTCGAGCAGACGCATGAGAGAGAGAAGATAAATATTTGAGGTCGCCGGCACCATCCCATCCCAGATCTGTTGATTTGAGGGAAGGAGAGTGTCATCCTCCTCCCAGATCTGTAGATCAGAGCAAAAGAGGGACTCGATGAAGACCTAGCAGAGAAGGAAGAAGGAGAGAAGAACAAGGAGAGAAAGGAAGAAGATAAAATACCTGGAGGAGGTTGGATTTAGACCGTGGGAGTGAACAATGGCTTGGATTTGCTCAGATCTGGACTCAGGGACTGTGGTAAGCTGCTAGACTCCAGGACCCAAGTAAGCTGCTAAATTCTTCTCCTTCTCTTGATTTCTACACAGTTTTCTCTCTATTTTGCTAAAGCCGGGGATGATATGGGAAGAATCATCTTACTGCTTCGACCAAAACGTTAATGTTTCGACCAAAACAGTGTGAAACATTGGCGTTTTGGCCAAAATAGTGGAATTTTTGGTTTCAACCCTTGTTTTGTGTTGGTGTATTGAAAATCCAAAATGTTTTGGATGTTTCGACACGATATGTCGATCTTTTGATCATGAGGCAAACTGAGGCCCAGTATACTGTATTAACTAAGCTTACCTCTACTACATTTACCAGAGAAATTACAGTATCATGTGCCACAACGACTTGCAATTCAAGTAACATTGGTTGGGCCAATCATGTTTTGTATTTTGTAGCTCGAGTGCAACAAGGAAACTAGATTGCATTTCAAATTTTATTCCTAAAATTAAGTGGCCAGCCCTGGAATTATTTTATGCAGCGTTACAGGCTGGTCTAGTTTACCATCCCTATCTCCCTTGTAGGACTGTATCCTGCTACTTTAGACAATAGTAAGCCTGACTTGGATGGGCCATGAGGAGGTGAGGGCCTGGCAAACAGGTTGATGCATGAGGAATGTGGGTTTTCATAGTTTAAAAGATGAACTCTTCATAAGTCATAGCACAGTGAAGAAGTCATATACTTAGAACAATGTACTAGAACAAGCTGCAAGTTGGTGAAGCAATACAGTTTCTTCTATTGGCTTGGCTACAGACCCTGATATCTACCAAATTTGCTATACAACTCTTGCATGTAATTGATTTCTTGAAGTTAGTTCATGATTTGATGACCACATGCAACTTTGCAGCAATTTTCTCTCAATCATCCAGATGTTCGCAAGGTGTTGGGGCTACCTGACAAAGATGCTCCGCTGGCAACTGCAAATTCTGGAGAAATTGGTACCCCTGGAGTCCCTGGAGCAGAACCATCAACAAAGCAGCACAATGTCTCCATCCAAAACCTATCAGCTCAAGAATTGCTTGCAGTAAGTGGCTATTGATGTTTACCTCAGGTGCTATACGAATGTTTGAGGTGTTCAAGTTTAACTTGTCTGATATTTTATGGTGTAACTGTTGACAGCTGTCGGTTCAACTCTTAGCAAAAGGACATCAAGATCGGGCAATTCCTCTACTACGGTACGATCTTCTCTTCTAAAGATGATTGACTTTGTCTTTGGTGGTTGTCCACATTTCTAAGTTCAAATTACAGACTTGCTCTTGACAAGGATCCCGACTATGTGAGAGCTTTGGTTGTTATGGGGCAGACACTATTGCAAAAAGGACTATCCGCCGAGGCTACTGAATATTTAAAGCAGGCAGTCTCCAAGGTTTATATTTCAACACCTGAAGTTCTTTTTTTTTTCGTGTTAAGAGTATCACAGGAAGTTCAGCAGTGTTAATTGTGGCGAAAAGCACATTGAGGCTTGCCAAGGTCTTTTGGGGCCTAAGCGCGAGGTGCAAGGCAAAGAGAAGTATGGGTTTCATTGAAGCGAAGTGCATTATGTGAATAATATATGAAAATTATAGATTATAGTGCAAATACTAGAGCATAGTAGCTTCATGTGAAGAATCTTCCCATTTGATTATACACGAGAAATTGCACTCACAACTTAGAAGGGGGGCGAATAGGTTTATTAAAATTAAGGCTCGGCCAATCACTAATTTAAAACTTAATTGACCACAATTATCAATTAATCAATTAATTAACCAGTTAAGTGTGTGAACCTAGGTAAAATATAAGGTATCTAGGGTAGTTATTAAAGCTCTCTAGAAAGTTTTAGGCCTTTCTAGTTCATACAGACTTGCTCTCTAGGTCAGAACTATAGCTCCCCATAAATAGTTTCTAAAAATAGAGTTTAATTGGAGTTTAAGAAAACTCAGATTCGCGAACAACCACTCAATCTGTTAGAAGGTGTGGTTTTTGGAGTGAAAGATGAGTCATTCTAGACCACCAGGGAGTTGACCACGAGCTGTCAAAGAGCCGTCTCTACTTGCTCTCCAGTTCAATCTCCCCAAGTGCTATGAACTCTCAAGAAGGTGACGTAACCATGTAGGACACCGACACTTCTCAGACAAGTATCCGATATTCTTTTATCTGTGTTCATAATTAAATAATAAAATTTTAATTTCGGACACGTGTCCGTGTTTTCTTTAGTGACGTGTCTGACACTTCTTTATGTCATGTCTTCTACTAAACAATAAACATGTATTGATATATAGTTAACAAATCTTAAAATTTTGACTAATAAATATCTTATACTATAAGAGAGCATATAATTACCAAGACTAGACATTGAAATTGTACTCGAAAATATCTATATACTACTTATAAATGTCAGCAAAAAACTTTTGATTTTCTATTGTATTCCTAATTATTATTATAAAGTCAATTATACCCACATATTTCCTTTCATTCAATTTCTTTTCTATACATATTAGATTTTTAAGTTCTTTTAGACTCTTTTGTTAATAGTATTTGACTTCTAAATTCTTTTAGACTCATTTATTAGTAAGTACACTTGCATCCAATTTTTTTATATCTATGTCTATATTTATTTAAATAATTAAAGTATAATATATATTCAATTATTATAATAGATTGGATTTTGTAGTCAAATATATGTCATTTGATTTTTTTGGTATGCAACAATATCATTATATCATGGGTTAATAGCATTTTTGGTGTTAATAGGATTTTTGATCCTTAAAGTATGTATTTTTTTTCAATTTAGTCTTTCATTATATCAATTTTGTTAATTTGGCCCTTGAAGTATTCAATTCGTATTATTTTGGTCTCTGCATAAACGGATCGTTAAGGGCTCGTTTGGGAGCGTTTACAATTTTGATTTTTTTAAAAATGAAAAATAGAATCAGTTTTAGATTATCGTTAACAAAAAATGAAAATAGAAAACGTGTTTGATTGCTTTTATAGTTGTACAAAAATTTGAAAACAAAAACAGAAAACTCGTTTGGTTGTAACACTTGTATTTTTTTTTTTTTTGGACTAGGTTGTATACATTAACATAATTTCATGCTATTAAAAAATTAGAACAACAATCCATAATTGATCATCCAATAGTTTTCAAACATTTTTTTTTTAAATGAATAAGAAAATCTTATTGATAAAAGGAGTAATTACAAGAAGCAAAGAACAAACTGTTTTGAAAAAATACAAAAAATGGCTTTAATCCTTCAAGATGATTAAAACCATTTTTAACTACATTTCTGCACCTTCAGACCTTCACAGTTCAGCTCCTGGAACCTCCCCAGACAGCTTCTGATGCAGTTCCCTTTCAAATCTGAAGCTGCATTCCAGCCCCCAGCTCCATGCCATGAGAATCTCCAAGATCAACAACAGACCAGCTCCAAGCTCAGAAGCTGCCCATATCAGCACCAGCCCATCAGTTTCCTACATCCAACTCTCCATCTGTATTATACCTGCTCAGCTCTAATTACAACCTTCCTCCTCCTTGCAATGGGCAACTTAGATTGATCCTGAATTAAGAGCAGTCTGTCAGTTAATGGCAGACTGCCATCAATTGAGAAATCAGTAAAACAGCCAGAATGAACAGCAAATGAGGCCAAAAAGTCAGCTACAGCATTTCTAGAAAGCAATGTCAAGCTTTCTTCATGGAAGGCAAAAGAAGAGATATATTTTGAGACAAAAACCTTTAACGTTGGAGCATTATTTGAAGGAATAGAAGTGAAAGTACTGAATGTATGTATTTTAGATCAAACAAAAACCCAAAAATTATTCAATATCTGCACATACTTTAACCAGTTAAATGGCATTGGCAAATAATGATGCAATATAGAGCAAAATAAAATTTACATCCAAATTTCCACCAATGATTTCTGGGCATGAACAAACTAGACACTTGCTTTCTAGCAAAGCTACATTTGGACCCAGCATATCATCAAAAAGCTACCAGGCAAAGAACAAACCTACAATTCATAAACTAAAAGCCACACAAATCTCCATTACAACGAAGTAAAGCATATCATAAATTTTATATGAACTACGTTGCATGAGAAAAAAAAATCTAGAGATGAGATCAGATCTATAACCAGAGATCAGCAAAAATCAGAGGCAAAAATCAGATCTATAACCAGCAAAAATCAGATTTATAACCACTAAAATTCAGATCTATAAACACCAAAAATCAAATCTATGACTAGCAAAAATTGGAGAAAAAAATCACCAAAAATCAGATCTATAACCAGAAAAATCAGAGAAAAAAATCAGCAAAAATCAAAGGGATGTACCTTCACCGACGCAGAGTAGATCAACTATCAATGTCTTCGTTGAAGAAGAGAGGCGCCTGGCGATGAAGAGGAGAGGTGATGAAGTTGAGAGGCGACGATCAGATTTGAGGGGTTAGGGTTTGGGTATTGCTATTTATATGGGTGCCAATAAATGTGTCATTTTGGTGCTAACAAGATTGGATGTCTTGACCTCATTAATAACAAACGTGCGATAAACGTTTTTGTTTTTTCGAAATCGTCTTTTTTTTGTTTTTGAAAATCGCCCCTGGTTTATAAAACGGTGACAGAAAAAAAAATAAAAACGGTTATCAAACGAGTTTGTTTTCTCTAAATATCAAAATAAAAACGCAAAACGTAAATGTTACCAAACGAGACCTAAGTTTATGATGAAATGAACACGTGTTGGACACATAATACTGTCTAAAAAAAATGACATGTGGTTACCTCCATAAAAAAACTAAATAGATTGTTTGATTAGGGACCAAAGTGATACAGATTGAATACTTTAAGGACCAAATTGATACAATGAGAACTAAATTGACAAAAAATACTGTCTTTAAAGACCAAATTGACAAAACTGGTACAATGAGAACTAAACTGACAAAAAATGCACACTTTAGGAACTAAAAGTGCTATTAACCCTAATATGATAATACAAACAATAATATTGTAATTTAATCAATATTTTTGACAAATAATGTAATAAATTAATATTATAATTAGATGATCAAATACTCAAGAATGAATATTTGAAAATGAAGCTCCATTATTATAAATAAAAGAGAATATTTAAAGAGATGGGAGAGATACCTAAAAAAATGGCAAAATAAGTATTCAAAGAGGTAAAATAAATCAATACTTAAGTTTAATAATAATTGAAATAATACTTAATTATTCAATATATAATTTATTATTCAATTTAATTATAATTAAATATATTCACGTGCAATGAACACCGTGTATTGTTAGTAATAATTAAAGAAAAGGATTGATAAAAGTTTTAAAAATAAGGAATTGAGAAAATGAGTGCAATCATTTAAATTATATGTGTTGCATACACTTCTATAAAAAATAAAAAATTAATGATTATTGACTATTATAATGCTTTGGTCCAAAAATTCATAGTAGATTAATAAACATAACATTTACCCATTATAAAATACTGAGTTTTCTATGAACAATGTATCAATATCACTATATTTGTAATAAATTATATAGTTTTATATAGAAAACATAATTATTTATGGTGTGGGACTTATAACCGCACTTAAACTTTGATTTAATGATAGAAAAACTACAATCCGAACCAAGGTGTGATTAACATGATTAACAACAAAAAATAGATAAATAAAATATTTTTTTTTCCTTTTCCATAGTTGTTGTATTTTTCAAATATAACATAAAAACAAAAAAATATGCATAACAATGTAACAACAAAGGAAATATAAAGCAACTAAAAGTAAATCATAAAAAAGATGTTTAACTAGACATCAAAACTCTTTTTGGATTTTTTCTTTCAATTATTTTTTGTTATATGTAGAAAAGTAAAGTAAATATAACAAAGAAAAATATGCAATGCATAACTATCACCTAGGGACTTCCATCCTAGTTGAGGTGGTGAGTTTCTTAAGGTCCTCATTTTTCATCCACACTTGTTTTCCCTTCCAATTTCTCGGGTTAGCACGGGGAATGGGTGTAAGACTCACTCTCATCTCTCTGGAAGTTTCTAAGTTAATTTTAACTTTAGGAGTAAAACAAATCTTATTCAACCTAGCTAGTGAGCCTTTGAAGGTGAAACATTCCTAGGCTTGGGCTCACTAGTCCTACCCATGAGCTTTGTAAGGTTCAACACTTGGTCATTTAAAGTCTTGGATTGGTTTGCTAGGTGGATGAGCGTGTTATTCTCACTCTCGAAGATGCTCATCTTGTCCTTTAAGCCCACAAATATGAATTTTGAACTTCACTAAGTCCATATGGAGTATTCTCTTATTCACTTGAGTTGAGCCTCGTGGTCAATGATTGCATTTGCTTCTTTTGCTTGAGGAATTCTTCACACAATTAATCACCTGCATCGTAGATATCCTCAATACTTTGTATCTCATCCTCGCTAGAAAAGACTTCAACTTCTAAGTTGTCTACAATCGTGGTAGATCTTGATTCATCTTCTCTCTCTCTCAATTTCACTAATTGAAGTTTCTCTCCGGGGGGAAGGGGGTGAGCCT